AGGAACCCACCTCTGGTGTGGATGGCAATTTCTTGGTGCCTCGCCTGAGGGCTGAGGGAGGCTGCCTGCTTTCATCCCGGTTGAGATACAATGTGTGGATGGCAATTTCTTGGTGCCTCGCCTGAGGGCTGAGGGAGGCTGCCTGCTTTCATCCCGGTTGAGATACAATGTGTGGATGGCAATTTCTTGGTGCCTCGCCTGAGGGCTGAGGGAGGCTGCCTGCTTTCATCCCGGTTGAGATACAATGTGTGGATGGCAATGTCTCTGCCATTGTCTTTTTTGGCATAAAACATGAGTGGCCTAATAATATAATAGACAGCAGAACTGGGCTTGAAAAATTAAAATAACCACAACAATGAAGCAATCAAAATAAAATAAAACCAGCCCTCAACAAAAATTCTCCAAAAGCAGAACTGTTTTTAAAAACCTGTGGGGGGGATTTAACTTGTTAGGAAGATATTTTGGTGGAATTCTGATGGAAAGTTTGAGCAGTGGTTAGCAGTTCTGAAATGAATAGCATTTCAGAACTGCTATGTGGCTTAATGCTGGGCAGAGAACATTTTTGTTCTTCAACAGGTTAAGACAAATAAGAAGACAGAGAGAGGGGGAGAGAAGAGGGAGGAAGCGAGGGAGGTTATTACACATTGGCTGATTTAGAGGGGAAGCAGCATGGTGGCCTAGTGGTGAGAATATTTACCTCCCACTTGGAAGGTTGAGAATTCAATCCTAAGTAGCAGCAGGTATTTCTCTCCTAGGGTGCAAAGAAAAAAATATCTGCTGTGAACTCCGCATGGGCGTCGGGAAGGACATCTGGCCAGTAAATGCTTAGATCCATCCAGTCACCCCGATTCTACCCCGAAGTAAAAGATTACAGGATCATAAAAAGGAAGTTTTAAAAAGGAAGAAAGCGGGGAGGGTAAGAAAAGGATATGAAAAAGTGAATAGGCTTAGATTAGTATTTTTGTCATGAAAGAATGCAGTTGAAAGTTGTGTCTTGAATGAAACAAGAACAGTATATGATGGAAGTAAGGCAAATGAATGGAATGCTTAGCAAATAATTCAATACTGAGCGAAAGAAAAAGATGTGATGCCTCCTTGGTTGTTCAAGGTATTTTGTGGATAAGCACATAAAGGTTCACTTGTGGTGACATTAGGGGTGTGTTTGTTGGGAACATGGATGTACATGTAGTTTTGTAAGTGGACGACCCTGTATTGTTAGCTGAGAACCTAAAAGATCTCTGTGTCCCAAAGGTGCTTTTTTCAAGAGACAACTGGGCTGCCTGGTTTTTCTTTGACAACATTTCACTTCTCACCCAAGAAGCTTCTTCAGCTCAGAGCTTGAATGAGAAACGAAACATCTTCAAAGAAAAACCAGAAAATCCAGTACATTTGGGACAACCATGACTTGGATAACCTGAATCTCCCTAGACAAAAGATCTGTAGTGTAAATTGCACTGTGCAATAAAAGAGTATGGATCTGAAAATTAATATATTCAAAATCAATAGTTGTGTTATCCAGGAAGATGGCATGGGCAGTTGCAAGTTATACATAAATGCCACACAACTAGAGCAGGCAGATGGGTTTGTTGAACTCCTGCATGGGATATTTTTTAAAAATGGGGAAAAGTTTTGAGAAATTTAAGATGGCAGGAAAGTAGTTGAGAGAGTAAAGCGGGAGATTGAGAAAATTGTAATTGGATGGAGTTGATCAGATCCTCAGAAAGAATGAACAGGTTCAAGAACAAAAGGCGATATGTGAATCAGTTTATGAACAAGAATATCCTGTAAGGAGAAAAAGAAATATAGAAGTCTACTGAATGGTAATCATGTAAATTAAACTTAGATGTCTTTCTTCCCTTTTTTAATTCATACCTTAAATGGCTTTGGTATATTATTTCTTACTTGTTTACTGTATTTGTTGTAAGGTTGCTTACCCTGAAATAACTAGTCCTCTATCTGGATGAGAAATAAAATATAAGAACTTATCCCAAAGGGGAGAAGATAGGAAGAAGAAAAAGAATGTGGAGAAATGACCTCAATATACAGTAAATATACCATTTGGGGGGGGAGCTGCAGTGTGATTTTAAATTACATATATTTAAAGTTAGAATTAATTTTCAAAATAAGGTTAGAAAAATTAGGCCTTTTCTGACCAAATAAATACACTTTTGTCACATTAGCAAGCCTTGACAGATGCTCAACAAGCTAGACTTATGGTGGTTTTGGTGAGATTCCTTGATGGAACAGAAGTTGGGTCCATGACAATTTATTTGGGTCATGGGCCAGGCAATTTTATAAGAGGCTGAAAGAAGACTAGAACTTGCAGCAAATGCTCCAAGCCTTTCGGGAATAATTTTGTTCAGTGCAGTGGTGGGTTTCAATTTATTTTACTACAGGTTTGCTCATGTGTGCGTGCGTGCTCACGCGTTTGCACAATGCTTCTGTGCATGTGCAGAAGCGTCTGGGCGAGTGGGTGGAGCCTCCCACCACTGCTACTACCGGTTCGCCCGATTTGGGTTGAACCAGCCGAAAGCCACCTCTGGTTCAATAGTTATAATGGGAAGAAGGAATAACCTTGAGGAACAGGAGGAAAAAAGACCGATTAAAGAAAAATCTGAGTCCTGGCTAGAGAAAGTTTCTCAGACAAGACCCTTCTTGTCTATGGAGATTCTCAGTCTTCCAAGTCATGGTTGTCCCAAAGGTGCTTTTTCAAAAGGCAACTGGAGTTTGTTTTCGCTTGAAGACGTTTCCGCTTCTCAGTTCTGAAGAAGCTTCTTGGATGAGAACAAAACATCTTCAAACGAAAACAAAGAAAGTCCAGTTATCTTTTGAAAAAGCACTTTTGGGAAGACCCTTTCTTGTTCTCATGCAGATAAAGGGATGGGGTGGGGAGAATTACATTCAACATTGCAAATTTTGTCCCATAACTTTCATGATTAAAGTAGTATTGACATGTGTACCTTGAACTTCCTAGCCTGGTCTGCTGGGAAGGGCTGACAGTGTTATACTCTCCACATGTGCTATTGACGAATGTCAAACTTCGGTTGAAATCTCCTTTGTGTCCCCTTGCAGGGTCACGGGTGGTGAGCTCTTCGAAGACATTGTTGCCAGAGAATACTACAGTGAAGCTGATGCAAGGTGAGCGGTAACTCCATATCCACTTGTCCTCCCTCCATCCTTCTCCCTCCTCCAGCCCCACCCCCTCTCCCTGTTCCCAGATCCCACTCCTGCTTGAACCTGTGAAATATGAACCCATCTGTGATCAGGGAGGTTGTGGGGGAGGGGGTTGAAGCCTCATGGTTGCATTCAAAAGATTCCACATGGTTGCAGAGACATTCTCACATCCTTTGGCACCAGTGGTTGCCATAATGTGCCCCATTGCCTCATACAATGCCAGCCAACCCTCCCATGCACTCTTGGACTGCTGCACTTGGTTACATAGTTCACCTCATAGTTGTGGAGAAGAGGCATTGCAGGGTGAGAAGAGATGCACCTATCCTGGTTTCATCCTCTGCCTCCCCTGCCCTCCCATTTATATAAGATGCAAGCACTCTCAGTGCATCTAATCATTTAAGGATGCTCTCTTTCCCAAATGGACTTTCATCAGAGCAGGTCACTCCCCAGCTACCAGCTCCGTTCTTTGCTAAAGGAAGTGTGACAGGTGAGAGAAGTTTGACTGGGGTGGCTGGAGTGTGCTCCCACTACTACCAACAAGGGTTAATCTGTGGTCGAGTATCTCAGATTCAAATGGGGTCTTAGCCTTCTTATAAAGGAAGCTGTTGTTAGTGTTTTCACACTTTTACTTTCTCATCCTACTTCAACCGTAGAGAGGTTTTTATTGCTCTAGGCTGGTTTGGAGGTTGTATGGTCTCTTTTGCAGATGTAGTCTAACCAGGATAGTTGGGGTAAGAACTGGAGGTGTGCAAGGATGCAGGACTATTGGCCATAAGGAATACAAAATTGGATGGGACAGAATTGAAATTAGGGTTTGCTGGGCAAACCCTAATTTCAATTAGGGCTGGGCCAGCTCTTTAGCAAAGAGCTTCAGGAGTTGACGCACCAGGGCCACCAAATTACAAAACAAGAGTTGCATTTGAGAAACGTTCATAGCTACCGTACAATGACAGCTGGGTGCCTGAAGTTTGTCAACCTAGATTGGAAGGAGTTCCAGCCTTTGGAGTGGTGTAGAGGAGCAAAGGCTGAGGAGGCAGCAGGAGGTACCAAAGAGATAATTCAAAAACCAAGAAATTCAGATGTCAATTTAAACCAAGAGCCAAGGTGGCACAGTGGTTAAATGCAGCACTGCAGGCTACTTCAGCCGACTGCAGTTCAGCAGTTCGGCTGTTCAAATCTCACCGGGCTCAAGGTTGACTCAGCCTTCCATCCTTCCGAGGTGGGTAAAATGAGGACCCGGATTGTTGTTGGGGGCAATATGCTGACTCTGTGAACCGCTTAGAGAGGGCTGAAAGCCCTATGAAGCGGTATATAAGTCTAACTATTGCTATTGCTATAGCTTTCATAACAAGAGATTGTTGACCAAGGCATGAATGTGAAGAAATGCATTGTGAAGCTATTTCTGCTTTGAATTAAGAAACCTGGTTGCCCATAGCCATTTCCCAAGTGTTCTAGACATTTAGCAATGAAGACTTTCTAAGAGAGGGAAGCCATAGCAATCCCAAGGTTTAGAATCAGGTGTAATTCTTCCCACCCAATGCAGTTTTTCTACGTTGTTCCTTTCCTATCTTGTTCCTCCACTGCTGCAGAGATGAAAGAAATAACCACAGGAGTGCAGAATAATTCTAGCATAAATCCCAGCCCGGTGTTTTTGATATTGTATGCTCCTTAGAATAGTAATCCCGAGACAATCATAGTCCAGTATACATCATGAAAATAATATCTTGTGTTTTGTTTAAGCACCTCTGATTTGATGGTAACCCTGAATGAAAACCTTAGATCCTTTCTCATGATGGTTTCCTTCCCATAAAGAATGGCCTAGTGATAGAAAAGCATCCTCTATTAATCCTAAATACAGGTAGTCCTTGACTTACAACAGTTCATTTGGCGACCGTTCAAAAGTTATGACGACACTGAAAAAAAGGAACTTTATGACCATTTTTCTCATTTATGACCATTGAAGCATCCCCATTGCAGGTCACGTGATTTACATGTGGATGCTTGACATTTAACTCATATTTGTGATGGATGCAGTATCTCGGGAGTCACGTGATCCCCTTTTGCGACCTTCTGACAAGCAAAAGTCAATGCGGAAACCCGATTCACTTAACCAAATGTGTTACCCTGTTTCCCCGAAAATAAGACAGGGTCTTATTTTCTTTTGACCCCTGAAATAAGCACTTGGCCTTATTTTCAGGGAGGTCTTATTATTTTTGAAGTGCAGGAGGTGGCAAGCATGATCACTTCATGGCTGCTGCTGAATTGCAATATTTTCAGGGAGGGCTTATTTTCAGGGAAACAGGGTGCTAATTTAAGAACTGCATTGATTTGCTTAACAAATATGGCGAGAAAAGTCGTAGAATGGGGCAAAATTCACATAACAGATTTCTCACTTAGCAACATAAATTTGGGCTAAATTGTGGTCATAAGTTGAGGACTATCTGTATTTGCCTTCAGAACAGCCCTGCTAAGTACATTGGAACTTTAAGTAGGAAGGCAGAAATTCGTGTGCGCGCAAGGCGATTGCCAAAGGCCAGCACTGTTCCAAATCCAATCTATGAACTTGATCCACCTTCACATCTTGCAAAGCCAGATGATGCTTTAAAAGAGTGTTTTTCAGCTTTGAGATGTATGGACTTCTTCTCCAGCTGTCTGGAGAATTCTGGGAGTTGAAGTTCATACATCTTAAAGTTGCCAAGGTTGAGAAATACTGCCATAGAAACTTCCTCTTTAGTCTGCTATTTCTTGCCCAAATTAAGCAATGTTCTCTTTAGCCCAAAAAAAGCCAACTCTGTTCTAGGCTGCATTAACAGAGGAATAGAATCAAGACCACATGAAGTGTTAATTCTACTTTATAATGCCTTGGTAAGGCCACACTTGGAATACTGCATCCAGCTTTGGTCGGCGTGATGTAAAAAAATGTTGAGACTCTAGAAAGAGTGCAGAGAAGAGCAACAGAGATGATGAGGGGACTGGAGGCTAAAACATACAAAGAATGGTTGCTGGAATTGGGTATGTCTTGTTTAATGAAAAGAAGGATTGGGATGACATTATGGCAGTGTTCCAATATCTCAGGGGTTGCCAAAAAGAAGAGGGAGCCAAGCTATTCTCCAAAGCACCTGAGGGTTGGATGAAAACTAATCAAGGAGAGGAGCAACCTAGAACTAAGGAGAAATTTCCTGACAATTAGAGAAATTAATCAGTGAAACAGTGAAACAGTGAAACCTCTAGAAGTTGTGAATGCCCCAACACTGGAAGTTTTTAAAAAGAGATTTGTCTGAACTGGTGTAGGGATTCCTGGCTGAGCAGAGGGTTGGACTAGAAGATCTGCTAAGTCCCTTCCTATTGTGTTATTCTGATCTATTCTGTTCTCTTGAAAAAAGAGCTGAACATTGACAGATTAGTATGTGATACCAGTTCCAGCAGTTATAGTCAGTTAGCCTTGGAGAAAGGTTAGGTACAGCTAATAGCATAATACCCCCCAAAACTGAATTAAGAACAGGAGTGATAAAACCTATGCAGGGAGTTAAGGAAATTACACAAGCAAGCTACTCACATGCATCAAGATGTGGTGGGCCAGGCAGGCTTACCACAATACAATACAATACAATACAATAGCAGAGTTGGAAGGTCTTCCAACTCGGAGGTCTTCTAGTCCAACCCCCTGCCTAGGCAGGAAACCCTATACCATTTCCGACAAATATGAGAGACTTTGTCCAAGAGGTCAGGACCAAAAGAAGTTCAATGGGCTAGGATGTAATTCAAGCACATGTGAATGATTAAAACATGCATTTTATGAATAAGTTGGCTCTCCCTTGTAGTTTCACAAAACTATTAGAGGAACCCCAAGTGGCTTGGTTGAACCACTGGATTGTTTTGACATTGCTTGCCAGGGTGGCCCTTGCGTGCTTCACATCATGTATGAACCAAGCTATTTTAGCTTGTTCAACAACCACAGCAAGAGAAAACTTAGTGCGATGCGTGTTCCCTGCGTATGAACTAAGTTTTGTAATAATATATGCTTTGTTTTTTCTTAATAACTCCACTTACTAACTTAATCACTCCACTCAGTTGTCATGTAGATGTGAACTGAAGGAGTCCCCAGATGGAATCCTCAGTTTGTGATTGTGTCGTATCTTATGTGCCGCTTTTATCAAGAAATTGTAAAGAGAAAATAAAAAGTAACGCAAACTAATACAGACTAAAGAAAACAGAGAACACAAAAGAGCAGCAAGAAAAGAAATTAAAAGAAAAAGCTTCCATTTTCTTCTGCAGCTAATATCAATATGATTACGAAGTTCTCTCTTATATTACAATTTTTAAAAAAACCCTCACCTTTTTTCTGTTATTTAATTTTATTTTCTAGTCTTCAAAACCAAAGTTCTTTGTGCCTTTTTTTCCTGTTTCATGCAACAACAAAAAATCTGCAACGAGTTTCCAGTCAGCCATAAATGTAGATATTATGTTTTCTCTAACCAAGGAAGTCATTTTGGTCAACTTTGGAAATTCCATTATCTTCACCAACCATTCCTCCATTGTGAGTGATGTAGAATCCTTCCAATTTGGGGATATAATAATCTCGCTGCAGTTGCCATATATAAAAACAATATTCCATGTTTTTTTCCTAGATGTTTGTCCATTAATTCCAAAAGAAAAGCTTCTGATTTAATTGATTGTTAGACTTTAAAATCTTCTGAATTAGTTGAACTCTTCTGTATGTATTTGTATCTTTTTTTAAAAAACATCCACCACACATGATAAAACATGTCTTCGTGTTGTTCACATTTCCAGCATAAATTTGAAGTACCCTTTATGCATTCTAGATCAGGGGTGTCAAACTGGTGATGTGTCATGCACAGACCATGCCCACCCAACTCTGCAAAGGGAAAAAATAAGTGATATGTCATGTGGGGGCCACATGACATGGTGAGTTTGACACCTGTGTTCTAGATGATTTCTCTGGT